TACTATTTGCAATCCGTCTTTATCTTTTGTGACCTAGGTTTGGAGGAGAAGAGAGAGAAGAGGGAAATCAAGTGAAATAGGGATGGGGGTGTTTGTTGAAGAGAAGTCTCTGCATTCAGGGATATATTGGGAAGTAGACTAATGAAGACTTATTGAAAAAAAACCTCAAAAAGCCACTGGTTTCTATGGTTACAGCAGTCATCACATCTACTTAGCACCCTAAATGTAGCCTGCCTTCCACATTTCCTTGAGGGTAAGAAAACAGATGGTTTTCTGTAGTATATTGCTAAAAGCAAGATGTGCTACTAAGTAGATTAAGTGAGCTCCTTCATCAAATTACTAGTCTTTTGTCCACCTCCAAGGAAATGTATTTATAGTGAAAATCAGAATGGTGTACTGGATTCAAAGAACTATAAAATTTTATTATGTTTTTCTTGACACAACTCATGGAATTTAATCTTCAGCACTTCACCTACCCTTACTTGGCCTCTCTGTCCTTGGTATAAAATGAAGGTGTTCAATAAGGTGAAATAATTTGTTTCCTGGCTCAATGTTTATAACTATAAGCACTAGTAAAATTGAGGCATTGGAAGACGTCTAGTTGAAGCATGCTCTGAACATCTCAATCTGGGGCTGGAGAGATGGCTCAGCAGGTAAGAGAACTGGTTACTCTTCTAGAGGACCAGAGTTCAATTCCCAGGACCTGCATGGTAGCTCACAACCACCTGCAACTCCCGTCTCAAAAGATTTCACACCCTGTTCGAATCCACCACAGATACCAGGCATGGTGCACATGCAGGCAAAAAACCTATATACATAAAATAAATACACCAAAATAAAAAATTAATGTCAGAACAACAGTTTCAGGCTTGTTTGCTATAGCAGGTAAGGGTCAGAAAAGCCCACAAAGGATCAATGTCATTAATATCTCAAATTCAAGAGAAGAAAAAGTGGTCACAAAATAAAGCTATCACTTCAATTGCTACAAAATGTGCCTGATGAGGGAGGCAGAAATTCTCAAGTCAGTCAGCATTTAGGTTCATTTAAGTGGAGACTAATGAGGAAAACCATAAAGGTTAATAGCTGTACAGTGTTATTTGTATTGTGCTTGTATAATAAGGAAGCCTGGAAGGAATAAGGACATTCTAAAGAGACCCAGTGTCCCTCATACTAACAATGTGGACTATTGAAACAAGGCTCTCAGGGACTTGGGATTTCTCTCCAAGAAATCTCATGCTGGGAAAAGGGAAAGGCTGAATCCTGGTTCCTCCCAGAGAGAGGAAGCTCACCTTCTGAAAGGAGATGGTACATTTTACCAATAACTTTTAAGATTGTCTGGCAGGGGAGACAGATTGGGTAATGTTGGGCAGAACCAAGACTGCTTAGTTATGGGTACCTTTCTTCCTTCAATTTAAAATTTACCTTCATGTCAGTACCCTGAAGATGGACTTGGCAAAGTGGGGAAAGATGGTGTCACTGGATTTTTTTTATCCCTTTCCCCAGTGTGGTCACTTTGAATCTGCCTTTACTGCTTTTTAATATTTCCTGTTTGCTTAGTTGGTTTTTCTAAGTATAGCTAGCCGAACATAGCTTACTGGGGCTATCCAGTCTCAGGCTCTTACTTTCAACAACTCCAGTAACACTTGGCTCTGCTAAAACCCTCAAAGGAATCTGGTGTGTGTTTCACAGAGATCTTACAACATAAAGTCCAAACTTCATGATACACACACGCCCCTAAAAGTTTGGCTTATTATTATTATTATTATTATTATTATTATTATTATCATCATGAATTTCTTATTTTACTCTCACAGCTCCCAAACTCTGATTCCAACTGTATCAAATACCTTATCAATCTTTAAAGATTTGTTCATCCATCACCATGCTCACATTTAGTGAGCATACCCCCTAACACCAGGCACCTGGCTGGTCATGGGGACACTAGCGATCAAGATAAATGCTGTCTCCTAAGGTTCTTACAGCTGATTCTGAACGAGTATCTTGACCTTTCAAAATGTCACACAATTAATTAGGGGACAACCCAGAATAAAAACGAAGGTCTTTATCATCTTAAAGCATCTTAGGGATTTGGGGAGTTTTAAATATTGGAACAATGATTAAAGAAAAACCTACCTAATTCTTTGCAATGTTTCTAATTTTCAAGAGAGGGTGGCAAATAATCTGAGGAAAAGTAAAGTAAGTGGATTGCAGCAGTGAAAGCATCCAAGAGGGCTCTGGGATGGGAGGATGGACAAGGACCAGGACATGCAGGAAGCATTTCCAGGGCAATTCAAATTGTCATTCAATACCATCTGAATGACGCTCATAACACTGGCTGCATCCTGATGGCCTGTCATCTGAAGGACCTAAGGAACATGGATTTTCTGAGCTCTGGTATTGTTGGCTTGTTTTCCTGTTTTGTTGAGACAGAGTCTCAGTATGTTTTCTGTATATTGAAGGATGACCTTGAACTTGTAACCCTTCTGTCTTTACTTCTCAGGGATTACAGGTGTGTGCCATCATACTGTTAGAAGACGCTGGAAATTAAATTTCCGGCTTTGGGCACACAAACACCCAGCCACCTGAGCTTTATCTCAAGTTTAATTTTCTCTGCTGTCAGGGTGAGTTCCAATTTTCATGACTAATACAAATTAGCGGGAGGGAGGAGTTTTTGCTAACCTGTGGCCACTGCCTGTAATACTGTCTACCGTTATCCTGGTTAAACGTATCACCATCCTTTCACCACATATTTAGGCTTAAAAGGAAATTGGAGGCACTAGGGAAATGTCTGGAGATCTACAAAGATGACACTAACTTACAATCTAAGCAACAGAGGAGAGACTAACTTAAATGCCCTCCCCTGATAATGAGATTGATGACTGACTTATATGCCATCCTATAGCCTTCATCCAGCAGCTGATGGAAGCAGAAGCAGACACCCACAGTTAAACACTGAACTGAACTGGAATCCAGTTGCAGAGAAGGAGTGATAAGCAAAGGGGTCCGGACCAGGCTGGTGAAACCCACAGAAACAGCTGACCTGAACAAGCGGGAGCTCTTGGTCTCCCGACTGATCACTGGGAAACCAGCATGTGACTGATCCAGACCCCCTGAACATGAGTGTCAGTGAGGAGACTTCGGGAATCTATGGAGCCTCTTGTAGTAGACCAGTACTTATCCCTAGCATAGGTGTGGACTTTGGGAGCCCAGTCCACATAGAGGGAAGGCCTTACCCTCCCTGGGGAGCAGAAAGGGTATATGCTAGGTAGGGTTTTAGTTGGGGGGGTGACAGGGGAGGAGGGGAGGGAGAGGGAACTGGGATTGACATGTAAAACAATCTTGTTTCTAGTTCAAATAAAAATGGACAAGAAAAAAAAGGAAATAGGAGTTTGGTCATTTTGAAAATTGTATCAGTGAACATATAATCTCATGGTTAAAGTCTAGAAAAAAATCACTAATAGCAAAATTAAAAAAAATGGCATCACTCTGATCCTGTGATAGATCTAGTACAACTGAAGTTAAAATTAAGAATATTGCACCAGAATGAGAAATTGCATTTAAAAAGATTTAAGTACCCAAAGAAATTTAATAATAAATGATAAAATGTATTTATTTATATTCAATTGGAAGATCAGTGTGAGCGTTCAGTACTCCGAATAGCTGGCAAGAGGGACAAGATATTCCTTTTACTTTTCAAGTCAAGGTCAACTCTTTTACATAACACTTGCAAATAATACTTGGTAAATACTGAGTTAGAAAATAAATGTTAAGAAAACGTGATAAATATATCAAGACAATCTGTTAGTAAAAAGTAAAATGGTCAGACTTTAGAATTAGTAAATCAAAGCAAATTAGGAGGGCAATTCTCTAATTCCTGGTCTGTAATTCTGTGGCAGAAACACAGGCTTATAAAGGTGAGTTGAAAAACTCACATTTTTTAAAAACAAAATTTATACTTCATTGACGTGCACAACAAGAAAATGGCTAAGTTAAAGGAGAACATATTGAGATATCATGTATTGTGTAGCCAACAATATTGTTCAGCAGGTAAATGCACTTGCAGTGCAAGCCTGGTAATCTGAATTCAATCCATGGAAACCCACTTAAGGGTAGAAAGACCAACTCCACAGACTGGTCCTCTGACCTCCATAAGTGTGTGCCATGTAAATAACACACACACACACACACACACACACACACAGAGTTTAAAATCTTAAAACAATAAAGATCATGACTGAAACAAATTAGCATGGATCAAATGAGTTTGAAAATAAAAATTCAGTGTAAAAATTCACAACTATTTTAACATATTCAGAGCAGAAACAGGAAAGTAATACCCAAAACATTTACATAATTGGTAGCATTGTTGATTACTTTGTTTCTATTGTGTTTTTACTGCTTTCAAATTTTTCAGTACTATAGTTGGTATCATTTTGTAATTGAAAAATACACATAGTGAAAAAATAATTCAATATGGAGGATTATCTTTTGACCCTTTGGCATCCCATGTATTGTAACCATGTACATTCCATGGAGGCTTTTAAACATGGGCTGTTTCAGATCAAACCATGTTGCATCAGTGTACATCTCAGGTTTGACCTGTGAAACAAAATCACTTTAAATAATGAAACTCAGCATCATTTATGGAGAAACTGATACTGGGAACAGGTTACACATGAGTATTTTGTAAAAGAAAAGCCTTACAATTTGGAGCAATGTGTAAAAGCTGCCTTGCTTTTATGCCTACATGTGTTTCCTATGCCATATTAGGTGCCCAAGTTATAATGATATATAATCAAATAGCACCTTTGCAAGAACTTGGGCTTTAAGTTTTACAGCTTTATAGAGTTTGCTTTAATAATATGGGCCATGGTTGGTCTTAAATATCACCAGGAGTCAAAGATACTGCTAGAAAATCAAATAGCACCTTTGCAAGAACTTGGGGTTTAAGTTTTACAGCTTTATAGAGTTTGCTCTAATAATATGGGCCATGGTTGGTCTTAAATATCACCAGGAGTCAAAGATAAGTTGGAAGATCTATTGCTTACCATGGTTGCGCAGTGGATATCTTTCCATACTGTGGCTTCCCTGGAGAGATCAGAGACTTCAAATAAATTATCCAGAATCACTTCCCCAATCATGTCGTGTCTGGAAAATCTGTCAAAGTCATATATGCTAAAGTGTAGTTTCCGGTTGCTTAGCTGATCATAGGCCACTGGGAACTGAAATATCTCATCAAACAGAGGGTTTAACGTCTTCCTGTGGACTCGCGTCTGAAATTTCTTTTTCCTGTCTGGAAGAAGATAGATCTTCACATAAGGATCAGAAGTTCCTGTAAAATCTTTAGCTGGGAGATCTAAAGCTTTGATAATATTAACAACGAGGAGCTCGTTTTCATAATCGTACTGGAGCGTAAAGTTAAGTTTCCCACAGGTTTTGACATCGTCTTTTCTGTTGCCCTCGGAGTCAACTGATTTCTGCTTATAGAGCTCTGGTTTGATCCTCCCGATGCTGGTCCTTGTTTCTCCTCTTTGTAAAACAGGTTCAGTGCCCATGCTAAAGTCAACACTGGAGACATTCATTTGCCTTGGTAGGTGTCTCCTGAAGGAGTTGTGGCTGTACACACACACAGACACACATACACAAAATCATTCTGGTTAGTCATTTCTGATGGAAGTTATAAAGTGGCGCACATACCCTCCCCACCAGCCAGCATCAGGAAACAATGTTATTGTCCACGTGTGGGATGATTTTAGCTTTGTTTTTGTCAATGCTGCCCCATACTCACATGAGGCCACATGAAAAGCCAGAATGACAGTAGTCAAAGAAAAAGTCTAAAATCTAATAGATAATTGAAACCCACAGATGTACATTTTAGAAGTGGTTCTGCTTTTTTCCACTCATAAACATATCATTAAACACCATTGTGAAGGAACAGGATTCTCTACAATGTTCTATTCCGTAAACACTATGCATGTCTTCATTCATCATTCACATCTAGACTGAAGAAAGTTATTCACTTGGTCCACTTCTTTACATCTAGAAATTTAAATTTCATGTTTTAGTAACTCTGCTACTAAAACAAAACCCTATAAAACATATTCTTACATGCCAATTATTTCTCATCCTTAAGATAACTAGATGATTATTTACTTTTAAAATGAATAGAGTTGTGACAACCCAAGTGAGTGTATTTCCCTTGTTTAACTTGGGGTGGGCTTCAAATCTTTAAGGACAAAATAAGTGAACAATTTTAATGGTGCAAAAATGAGTCTTTAAAATTACAACTGAATATATCATACTCATTATTATCCATCCACATTTCCAAATATTGAATACACGAATCTCGTGAGTGTCATGTAAGTATAAATTGAATTGAGATCCTTTCCTTTATACGTCCTTCATGATTTCTATCCAGCATGAGCTATGCCAGTGCACGGACCTTCTTGCAGGGTCCATTCCAGGTCTTTTGTTCTTTTCTCTCTCCAATCTATCCATCTTAAAATTACAGCTTTGGACTATAATTCCTGGTTGAGTTATATAGTCCTCAGATATGTCCCAGCTATATAAGATTCTACTCCCATGTCTCTAAATCCCCAAGATTTCAAAACTGATTTCCTAAGAACCCTCCTCCAAACTCAAGCAAATCCATTATTGTCTTCTTTTTGCTGCCAGAGCAATTCTTCTCCTACAATTTTTATCAGTACTAATGTGTTGTATTCAGTAATCATAAAAATATTGAAAGATATTCACATATGCTTTATATAACAGTTTCATGTAAACATTATATATAAAGCACACACACATATTAAACTTCAAAACTTACTACTTGGTTGAATAAGGTATAATTTTAGAGGTTTTCTTTTCATTTCTTTAAATAGCTAACTAAAACTGAAATGGCATAAGGACACTGAATTTGTAAGCCAAATTATAACAATTCCATGGTGTAAAAAATTCTAGTAAGTATATTAGTAAAGTGTATTTTGTAATGTGTTTATATATTTAACGTATATTGAGATCAGCAACATAGATATTATAACAATTTATGTTATTAAATAATGACTGTTAAAATTTGACCATAATCGAAAAATTGTTTTTATACAAAGAAATATACTAGAAATCTAAGATAAGATAAAAATTAGCTATTAATTAAGAATATAGTTACTTTAAGACTCAGTACTTAATTTACAGGAAAATGGATGGAACTTGAAGAAACCATTCTGAGAGAGGTAACCCAATCACAAAAAGACAAACATGATATGTACTCACTCATATGTGAATTTTAGACATAGAGTAAGGGATTACCAGCCTACAATCCACACTGCTAGAGAAACTAGTAAACAAGGAGGACCCTAAAAGAGACAAACTTTGTCCCCTGAGAAGGGGAAAGGGTCACGATCCCCTGAGCAAATTGAGAGCATGGGAAGAGGGGGGAGGGAGCTATGAGAATGAGAAGGGAAGAGGAGGAAGGATGCAGAGGTCATGAGAGAGCAGAAAGATTGAGTCGTGTAGATTAGAAGAAAGGATATGTGATAGGTAGGGTTCTAGTTGGGGGGGTGGTAGGGGAGGACAGGAGGGAGAAGGGAACTGGGATTGTCATGTAATTCAATCTTGTTTGTAATTAAATAAAAAATGATAAAAAAGACTCAGTACTTAAGTTTCTGTAACTGAGCATATAAACACATGTATGGAAGTCTTTCAGATTTGACTGTAAACCTTGAAGCAATCTGTCTCTTTAGACCTTTTCCATTATAATCCATTATTCATTCCATGTAATGAATATTGACCCTAAACTTATCCTAAAATAAAGATCAGAAGCCTGAATTATATTCAGAGTAAGGCCAGAGAGAATTTATGAAATAGCAGGAAAAAATTCCCATAGGCTCCATTGTTGTTATGAACTATAAAATTGGCCTATTATAATCCAGTTTGCAAATCAAGTCTGGGGTGCTCATCACTGCATAATGGGGCAGCCCTTAGCTCCTTGAGAAGGTTCATTAAACAATATTCCTATTAAAATCACTTTTACTTGTCCAACAATTGTGATTTGTATAGACAGAACCTGAGGGAAGTTAGTTACTGAATGTCATAAGCTTATTTCATAATTTCAAAGGCTTTCAAATACAATAATTTAATTATCTCTCCTTCTATCAAAACTTAGAAATTTCTTTATTCCTCTGAATGTGATGTGCATGGTTGTAAAGCCACTCATTGGATTCATGTCTACAGGGTCCCTTTTAATGGAACAAAAACTGTAGTGTCACTTTTGTACAAGTCCCAGTGTCATAATTACAGGGTAAATGGTGCAGAATCTAAATCAGTTCAGCTAGTAGCTTAAGAAAAGTGTTCAAGGATACAGTGTTGAACTATCACCATTGACAACACACAGCATCTCCCTCTTCCATCTTTTCTCTTCTAGAATGACAGTGATAAGCAAATTTTCAAACAATGAAAATGTGAACTGCTGCACCTCTCATCCCTCAAACTTCTGGAGGCCCATGCAAACACTCTGGGAGAAGTGCTGGACTGTGAAGGACTGCAACTGGGCCTCAGTTGTCTTACACAGAAAGGGTAACTACACAAGTAACTGACTGTATAAATGTTTTTCAGTTTATTGTTTCTTAGAAACCTGCCCTGGCCTTCTCATGTGGTTACTGATGCTTTCTCTTCTGCATCTTGGTCTGGAATACTCCATAGCTCTTGTTCCCCATTACCACATTTATACAGTTCAGAAATAAAATAGCTCTCTGATTTGTCACTGAAGCACTTCTTCATGGAAATCACCTATTAGCCCTGTATCACTACTCTAACCATTCCCTTGAAATTCTACATTATTTTAGTCTCCTGGTTCCATATCATTTTGGACACTTCTATTCTAATTGGCACCATATACCTGTTTCTTCCCAAAGTCTGATCTCTAATTTCAATGATCTACTTCCCTACTATGAATGTCTTATATCTTAATCACACTCCCATGCCACTAGTTAGATTTTTTTTTCGAGACAGGGTTTCTCTGTGGCTTTGGAGGCTGTCCTGGAATTAGCTCTTGTAGACCAGGCTGGTCTCGAACTCACAGAGATCCACCTGCCTCTGCTTCCCGTGTGCTGGGATTAAAGGCATGCACCACCAACGCCTGGCTCTAGATTCTGTTTTTATCATTAATTGGAAACTATTCCACAGCTCTGACTTTGAGCATACTTCTGGTGAATATTTCCTACCTTTCCATGTTCTTTTTGAGACCAAAGAATTATCAAGTAAAGAGAATTAATGATGCAGAGTCAGAGAAGAGCAGTTTTAGATGCTTTGAAGGAGATTTAGCAACAAGTGATGATCTGCTACGAGATCAAGGCATTGGTTGTTGTCTTAGGGAGGAATTCCACTGCTGTGATAAAATACCATGACCAGAAACAACATGGAGAGGAAAGGGTTTGTTTTATCTTACATTCCCCAGAAACTGACAGAATGCAGTGCAGGAATTCATGGTAGGAACCTTAAGATAGTGATGGAAGCAGAAACCATTGGCTTGCTACTTCTTTTTTTTATTTTAAATTTTTTTTGCTTGCTTCTTATGGCTTGCTTAGTTTGCTTTCTTACACAATCCAGGACCACCTTTCCAGGAGTTGCATTACCCAAAAGGGCTGGACCCTCCCACATCAATCATTAATCAAGAAAATTCCTTACAGTCTTGTTATAGGTAGTCTTGATGGAGGCATTTGGAGGATTGGGGTTCTTCATCCCAGATAACTCTAATTTGTGTTAAGTTGACAAAAACAAACAAATAACAACAACAACAACAACAACAAAACCCCCTTGACATTTGACTCCTTAAAACTTGGCACACAAATACCTCCCTATTCAACAATAAACATTCTTATTTGATCCTAAGATTGCATATTAATGCTAATATTACAACATGAAGCATAAATAACATTAGAAGTCCCATAGTCTTTAAAAATTCAAACGGCTTAAAATATCAGCTTCTTTAAAATATCCAAAATCTCTCAATTGTTGGTTCCTATAAAATAATAATAATAAAAAACAAGTTACATGTTTTCTTTTTCCAAGAACAAAGAACCAGGGTATAATCACAATCAAATCAAATGAAAATTCAAAGTTCATAGGTAAAAATAGAGCTACAAACTCAAAGGACAGAAAGCCTTACAAGTAGAATGAATCAAGCAGAAGATAGACTGTCAGGACTCAAAGATAAAGCAGAAGATCTAGGCTGAATAAGCAAGGACTATGCCATTGAATTATAGTCATAGATGAGGGAGAAGAATCTGAAGCCAATGGCATAGGACATACCATCAACAAAATCATAGACTAAATCTTCCCCAAACAAAGAAAAAACGTACACATACAGATAGAAGAAGCCCACAAAACACTGAGTAGACAAGACCAGAAGAGAAAATCCTTGTGGCCTATCATAGTTAAAACACTAAGTATGCAGAACCAAAGAAATGTGTATTGAAAGCTGCAAAGAGAAAAAAAATGCAAGTTACATACAAAGGAAAACTCATCAGAATAACAAGATTTTCAGTGGACACTTTGAATGCAGGAAGAGCCTGGAGACCAGCATTCCAAGACCTGGAAGACCATGATGGCCGAGCTTGAAG